AACACTGTTTTTTTAACGGGGAATCGAACCCCGGTCAGTACCGTGGGAGGGTACTATGATACCACTACACTAGATGCGCTCCTTTGAAAGTATCTTAGCCCATGTAGTGAAAGCCCTATGTAACGAGGGGTTAAGGTCTTTTCGACTTACAAATGAAAAGGCTACCAAGAATCTTTTAAAATGGGAATCCTAACCTTAAACACTGTCAAGAACAATATTTTCGAGTAAACAAAATAATGGTCATGCGCATCCGGGGAATCGAATCCTGATCAGTACCATGGGAGGGTACTATGATACCACTACACTAGATGCGCTCCCTTGCAAGTATCTTAGCCCATGTAATGAAAGCCCTATGTAACCGAGGGCTTAAGGTCCTTTCGACTTACAAATGAAAAGGCTACCAAGAATCTTTTAAAATGGGAATCCTAGGCTAACTTTAAACACTGTCGAGAACAATATTTTCGAGTAAACAAAATGGTCATGCGCATCCGGGGAATCGAACCCCGGTCAGTACCGTGGGAGGGTACTATGATACCACTACACTAGATGCGCTCCCTTGCAAGTATCTTAGCCAATGTAATGAAAGCCCTATGTAACCGAGGGGTTAAGGTATTTTCGACTTACAAATGAAAAGGCTACCTAGAATCTTTTATAATGGGAATCCGAGGCTAAACCTTAAACACTGTCGAGAACAATATTTTTGAGTAAACTAAATCGTCATGCGCATCCGGGGATTCGAACCTCGGTTAGTACCGTGGGAGGATACTATGATACCACTACACTATATGCGCTCCCTTGCAAATATCTTAGCCCATGTAATGAAAGCCCTATGTAACCGAGGGGTTAAGGTCTTTTCGACTTACAAATGAAAAGGCTACCAAGAATCTTTTAAAATGGGAATCCTAGGCTAACTTTAAACACTGTTTTTTTAACGGGGAATCGAACCCCGGTCAGTACCGTGGGAGGGTACTATGATACCACTACACTAGATGCGCTCCTTTGAAAGTATCTTAGCCCATGTAGTGAAAGCCCTATGTAACGAGGGGTTAAGGTCTTTTCGACTTACAAATGAAAAGGCTACCAAGAATCTTTTAAAATGGGAATCCTAACCTTAAACACTGTCAAGAACAATATTTTCGAGTAAACAAAATAATGGTCATGCGCATCCGGGGAATCGAATCCTGATCAGTACCATGGGAGGGTACTATGATACCACTACACTAGATGCGCTCCCTTGCAAGTATCTTAGCCCATGTAATGAAAGCCCTATGTAACCGAGTGCGCTCCCTTGCAAGTATCTTAGCCCATGTAATGAAAGCCCTATGTAACCGAGGGGTTAAGGTCCTTTCGACTTACAAATGAAAAGGCTACCAAGAATCTTTTAAAATGGGAATCCTAGGCTAACTTTAAACACTGTTTTTTTAACGGGGAATCGAACCCCGGTCAGTACCGTGGGAGGGTACTATGATACCACTACACTAGATGCGCTCCTTTGAAAGTATCTTAGCCCATGTAGTGAAAGCCCTATGTAACCGAGGGGTTAAGGTCTTTTCGACTTACAAATGAAAAGGCTACCAAGAATCTTTTAAAATGGGAATCCTAACCTTAAACACTGTCAAGAACAATATTTTCTAGTAAACAAAATTGTCATCCGCATCCGCGGAATCGAACCCCGGTCAGTACCGTGGGAGGGTACTATGATACCACTACACTAGATGCACTCCCTTGCAAGTATCTTAGCCCATGTAATGAAAGCCCTATGTAACCGAGGGGTTAAGGTCCTTTCGACTTACAAATGAAAAGGCTACCAAGAATCTTTTAAAATGGGAATCCTAGGCTAACTTTAAACACTGTCGAGAACAATATTTTCAAGTAAACAAAATGGTCATGCGCATCCGGGGAATCGAACCCCGGTCAGTATCATGGGAGGTTACTATGATACCACTACACTAGATGCACTCCTTTGCAAGTATCTTAGCCCATGTAATGAAAGCCCTATGTAACCGAGGGGTTAAGGTCCGAGAACAATATTTTTGAGTAAACAAAATGGTCATGCGCATCCGGGGAATCGAACCCCAGTCAGTACCGTGGTAGGGTACTATGATACAACTACACTAGATGCGCTCCCTTGCAAGTATCTTAGCCCATGTAATGAAAGCCCAATGTAACCGACGGGTTCAGGTTTTGTCGACTTGCAAATGGAAAGGCTAGCAAGAATCTTTTAAAATTTTAAACACTGTCGAGAACAATATATTGGAGTAAACAAAATGGTCATGCGTACTGGGGGAATCAAACCCCGGTCAGTACCGTGGGAGGGTACTATGATACCACTACACTAGATGCGCTCCCTTGCAAGTTTGTTAGCCTCTGTAATGAACACCCTATGAAACCGAGGGGTTAAGGTCTTTTCGATTTACAAATGAAAAGGCTACCAAGAATCTTTAAAAATGGGAATCCTAGGCTAACTTTAAACACTGTCGAGAATAATATTTTCTAGTAAACAAAATGGTCATGCGCATCCGGGGAATCGAACCCCGGTCAGTACCGTGGGAGGATACTATTATACCACTACACTAGATGCGCTCCCTGGGGAATCGAACCCCGGTCAGTACCGTGGGAGGATACTATTATACCACTACACTAGATGCGCTCCCTTGCAAGTATCTTAGCCCATGTAATGAAAGCCCTATGTAACCGAGGGGTTAAGGTCCTTTCAAGTAAACAAAATGGTCATGCGCATCCGGGGAATCGAACCCCGATCAGTACCATGGGAGGGTACTATGATACCACTACACTAGATGCACTCCCTTGCAAGTATCTTAGCCCATGTTATGAAAGCCCTATGTAACCGAGGGGTTAAGGTCTTTTCGACTTACAAATGAAAAGGCTACCAAGAATCTTATAAAATGGGAATCCTAGGCTAACTTTAAACACTGTCGAGAACAATATTTTCTAGTAAACAAAACGGTCATGCGCATCGGGGGATTCGAACTCCGGTCAGTACCGTCTGAAGGTACTATGATACCACTACACTAGATGCGCTCCCTTGCAAGTATCTTAGCCCATGTAATGAAAGCCCTATGTAATCGAGGGGTTAAGGTCTTTTCGACTTACAAATGAAAAGGTTACCTAGAATCTTTTAAAATGGGAATCCTAGGCTAACTTTAAATACTGTCGAGAACAATATTTTCGAGTAAACAAAATGGGAATGTGCATCCGGGGAATTTAACCCCGGTCAGTACCGTGGGAGGGTACTATGATACCACTACACTAGATGCACTCCCTTGCAAGTATCTTAGCCCATGTAATGAAAGCCCTATGTAACCGAGGGGTTAAGGTCCTTTCGACTTACAAATGAAAAGGCTACCAAGAATCTTTTAAAATGGGAATCCTAGGCTAACTTTAAACACTGTCGAGAACAATATTTTCTAGTAAACAAAACGGTCATGCGCATCGGGGGATTCGAACTCCGGTCAGTACCGTCTGAAGGTACTATGATACCACTACACTAGATGCGCTCCCTTGCAAGTATCTTAGCCCATGTAATGAAAGCCCTATGTAATCGAGGGGTTAAGGTCTTTTCGACTTACAAATGAAAAGGTTACCTAGAATCTTTTAAAATGGGAATCCTAGGCTAACTTTAAATACTGTCGAGAACAATATTTTCGAGTAAACAAAATGGGAATGTGCATCCGGGGAATTTAACCCCGGTCAGTACCGTGGGAGGGTACTATGATACCACTACACTAGATGCACTCCCTTGCAAGTATCTTAGCCCATGTAATGAAAGCCCTATGTAACCGAGGGGTTAAGGTCCTTTCGACTTACAAATGAAAAGGCTACCAAGAATCTTTTAAAATGGGAATCCTAGGCTAACTTTAAACACTGTCGAGAACAATATTTTCTAGTAAACAAAACGGTCATGCGCATCGGGGGATTCGAACTCCGGTCAGTACCGTCTGAAGGTACTATGATACCACTACACTAGATGCGCTCCCTTGCAAGTATCTTAGCCCATGTAATGAAAGCCCTATGTAATCGAGGGGTTAAGGTCTTTTCGACTTACAAATGAAAAGGTTACCTAGAATCTTTTAAAATGGGAATCCTAGGCTAACTTTAAATACTGTCGAGAACAATATTTTCGAGTAAACAAAATGGGAATGTGCATCCGGGAAATTTAACCCCGGTCAGTACCGTGGGAGGGTACTATGATACCACTACACTAGATGCGCTCCCTTGCAAATTTAACCCCGGTCAGTACCGTGGGAGGGTACTATGATACCACTACACTAGATGCGCTCCCTTGCAAGTATCTTAGCCCATGTAATGAAAGCCTTATGTAGCCGAGGGTTTAAGTGCCTTTCGACATACAAATGAAAAGGCTACATACCAAGAATCTTTTAAAATTAGAAAATAGGCTGAACCTTAAACACTATCGAGAGCAATATTTTTGAGTTAACAATATGGACATGCACATCTGGGGAATCAAACCCCGGTCAGTACCGCAAACCCCGGTCAGTACCGTGAGGGTACTGTGATACCACCACTACATACCAACAAAATGGACATGCGCATCCGGAGAATCAAACCCCACTACACTACACTACACTACACTACACTACACTACACTACACTACACTACACTACACTACACTACACTACACTACACTACACTACACTACACTACACTACACTACACTACACTACACTACACTACACTACACTACACTACACTACACTACACTACACTACACTACACTACACTACACTACACTACACTACACTACACTACACTACACTACACTACACTACACTATACACTACACTATACACTACACTATACACTACACTACACTACACTATACACTACACTATACACTACACTATACACTAGATGTTCAACTTGTTCAAATCCTAGCCCTATCTTTTAGAAGGAGAACCCTAGGCCGACTTAAACACTGTTGAGAACGAACAATATTTTCGAGTAAACAAAATGGTTATGTGCATCCAAGGAATCGAACCTCGGTCAATCCCGTGAGAGGGTACTATGATACCACTACACTAGATGCGCTCCCTTATAAGAATCATAGCTCATGTAATGAAAGTCTTATGTAACCGAGGGTTTAAGTGCCTTTCGACATATAAATGAAAAGGCTACATACCAAGAATCTTTTAAAGTTAGAAAATAGGCTGGCAATATTTTTGAGTAAACAAAATGGACATGCGCATCCAGGGAATGAAACCCCGGTGAGTACCATGAGGGTATTACCACTACACTATGTGCTCCCTTGTTAAAATCTTAGCCCATGTAGTGAAAGCCCCATGTAACCGAGAGGTTAAGTGCCTTTCAACATACAAATGAAAAGGTTACTAAGTATCTTTTAATAGGAGAACCCTAGGCCAACTTAAACACTGTTGAGAACAAACAATATTTTCGAGTAAACAAAATAGATATGCACATCTGGGGAATCAAACCCCGGTCAGTATCATGGGAGGGAACTATGATACCACTATACTAGATGCATTCACTTGTAAGAATCATATCTCATGTAATGAAAATCCTATCTAACCGAGGGGTTAATTGCCTTTCGATATACAAATGAAAAGGTTACCAAGAATCTTTTAAAATGAGAATCATAGGCCGACTTAAACACGGTTGAGAATAATATTTTCAATTAAATAGAATGGACATGCACATCTGGGGAATCGAACCCCAGTCAGTAGTGTGAGTACTGTCGGATGGTACTATGATACCACTACACTGAATGCGCTCCCTTGTCAAATCATAGGACATGTAATGAAAGCCCTATGTAACTGAGGGGTTAAGTGTCTTCCTCCATACAAATGAAAAGGTTGCCAAGAATCTTTTAAATTGAGAATCCTAGGCTGACCTTAAATGTCGAGAACAATTATTTCGAGTAAACAAAATGGAGGACATGCGCATTTGGGGAATCGAATCCTACTGTGGGAGGGTACTAAATGCGCTCCCTTGTAAGAATCTTAGCCCATGTAATGAAAGCCCTTTGTAATGGAGGGGTTAAGTGCCTTTCGACATACAAATGAAAAGGTTATCAAGAATAACATTTTCGAGTAAACAAAATGGACATGCACATCTGGGGAATTGAACCCCGATCAGTACCGTAGGAGGGTACTATGTTACCACTACACTAGATTTGCTCCCTTGTTAGAATTTTAGCCCATTTAATGAAAGCCCTATGTAACCAAGGGGTTAAGTACCTTTCGACATACAAATGAAAAGCCTACCAAGAATTTTTTAAAATAAGAATCCTAGGCTGACCTTAAGCACTGTCGAGAACAATATTTTCGAGTAAACAAAATGGACATGCGCATCCGGGGAATCGATTCCCGGTCAGTACCGTGGGAGGGTACTATGATACCACCTATAGTACATTTTGAGCCGTTTTCATTCTTCTAGGCGTAGACATGATTTTGGTGAATGGTCATACAGTGTCGTGCATTATTCGTCCGGTATCCGATTGACACCAAACTTGGCAAGCGTTCATATTTCATATGGATGGACTTAACTCCCGAACCACATGCCCAAATTCCTTTCAAAACTCTGACTGTTGAGGTTAAGGTTCGGGGCCCTACCCGGCCCTTCAACAAGCCTATCATTGTTCTTCATGTCTATTCTGATGTCTCTGTCTTGCTTATGTCTCAACTTGTCTTCAATGCCCACTTTGCGTGGTGGTGTGTTGGATGATGCATCGTCTTCCTTGATCGCATCATGACACTCTTCTATATTGGCCTGTATGTGACCAGATGGGCGTCACTTGAGGGACGCCACATTTCTTGTCATGGCGTGAGAGTCACAACCTACTCTCTTCATAGAATGGTTGTGACATTCTACCCCACTTAACTTAGTCATCGTCGTCGATGGCTTACTCGGGTCACAATCATATTGCAGATTGTGACATTCTCCCCCACTTAATTTAGTCATCGTTCTCGATGACTTTCTCGAGGCGAATTCGCCCCACTGATTGTGAAATTCTCCCCCACTCAATCTCGGCATCGTCCCAATGACGATCCGAACTCTTTGACTGTTGACGACTCGACTCGCTGGAATTGCCTGTGTTTCAAAAAAGTATAAAATTGTTGAGCACCTGACTATCTTTTGTCATAATGCTCAGCTTGTTGACATTTCCACCAACTTGGGGATAAGTTTGAGTGGATGCTTCTGACTTCTCTTTTGTCATGTGGCACCACGTTCTTACTCTTGACTTGGTCAGTTGTTGGGTGAACTTCCCTCAATTTTGGCTTTGTACTACTATCTACGGCTATCCCCCTTCAGATCTATTTCTATTGTTCGCCCATCTTGGACTTGGCTACCGAGACTCGCAACATAGACGTGGCTATTCAGTATTTGCCGTAGCTGTGGGTGAGGCTGACTCTCTATGTGGACACTCACCAGACGACTATGAACTTGAAAGGGGCACTTTGCCCTATTGTGGCCAATTTGGCCTCAATGTGTTTCGTACTTTGCCACCTTCGTGTGGCCATTGTTGTACTTGAACTTCCAGCTTGATGCTCACTTCTCGAGCGGATATAGTCTTGACATCTCTTGTTGAGTCATCCACCTTAGGCACAAGGTGGTGGCTCAAGGAATACACGTGTGCTTGTATGTTAGAGCTCCTTTACGGGGTGAGAGACTTATTGATGCTGCTCTCTCCCGCTTGGAGCACTTTTACGGGGTGAAATACTTATTGATACTGCTCTCCCCCGCTCGAACTTGGTTGCCTCTTTGCAGCAAGGTCGTCCCCCTATAAGGACTTACGTTGTATTCAGCTTTCGCACTTGGCCGATGCTTGTCGTTTCTCGACTCTCGGCTTCTCTGTTTGCAACCACTGACACTATTCCTCCAATGTGAATGGTTCTTTGGAAGTCACCGTCATGGTGCACTTTCTGTTTCATCTGTCTTGAATACTTCGGAACTACAAGCTCTTGGCTTCAACCCCCAACTTATTATAATTCTGACCGGCAACTATCCTGCCCACTTTGGCACTCTATACACACTTGCAAGGTCTTCGATCAACTCTTGGGTTCATTTTTCTTTACTGTCTTGCCTGACTAGACACACAAAGTGTGGCTCTAATACCAACTGTCATGGTCCCACATTTTTTTGACCGTGCAGCATCGTGATCTTGACACAGTCACGACTAGCCTTGAGGGGAATTAAGCCCCATATATATTTTTGGCCCCGGCTTTGTGGCTTCGTCGGACCCATATATATTTAGGCGAGGTTTGTCTTCACCAATCGAACATCGCTTGTGCTGAATCCAAGCTTGTTCAACCACACACACCGCCTGCGCGTGCATGTTCAATCGTCTACGACACATCCGACTTGCCTCTACGCCCTGACTTGGCTCTGCTCAGGACAAGGTCTCTTAGTGCAACGTCACATCTCATCTTGCCATCTCGATCCCCATCGACAGGGTCCATATGTCTTGATTCCATCTCGAGTCTCGGGATGTCGTTGGCCATCATAACTCGCTCGGTCATGCCATCGAGAATGGGCCTGCGTGTCGTTCATTTCATTGGGACTTCCCAAAAATCCATCCATCTGGGTTCTGTCGAGGCATAGGCTCTCCCGTACCCATGTCGAGTCATTTACGAATACCGTACCACATAGCGGGTGTATGTAGCAACCTCCAACACGCGGGCTAGGGCGCAATACCGGCATACCCGTGTCATCCGGTACTATCCTTCAAAAACCCATTTCAATGGAAGTTGCCCAAGACACTTGTCTCGGCATGCTCGCCCACACTGTGACACACGTATGTGCCACAGAGTAGCTCACTTAGGCCATAGGGCCCAGGGGTGGTGGAGAGTTGACACCATGGTACCCCCTATAGTACATTTTGAGCCATTTTCATTCTTCCAGGCGTAGACATGATTTTGGTGAACGATCATACGGTGTCGTGCATTGTCCGTCCGGTGTTCGATTGACACCAAACTTGGCGAGCATTCATATTTCGTATGAACAGACTTAACTCCCGAACTGCATGCCCAAATTCCTTCAGAAACCCCAACTTTTGAGGTTAAGGCCTAGGGCCCTACCCGGCCCTTCAACAAGCCTATCTTTGTCCTTCATGTCTATTCTGATGTCTCTGTCTTGCTTATGTCTTAACTTGTCTTCAATGCCCACTTTGCGTGGTGGTGTGTTGGATGATGCATCGTCCTCCTCGATCGCATCATGGCACTCTTATATATTGGCCCGTATGTGGCCAAATGGGCGTCTCTTGAGGGACGCCACTTTGCTTTTCATGGCGTGAGGGTCACAACCTACTCTCTTCATAGTATGGTTGTGACACACTACATGGAGGAAGTGTAGGGAGCCGCGACTGGGCATTTTTCTGGCGTGTGGGATAAACACGCCGAGAGTGTGAGGGCGCGTGAGACCTCATTTCAACTTCCGATTTGTCCCGTTCGATTCGTTTTGACCTGTTCTATCTAGTTTGACCTATACTTACCTTGAAAATTGTGAAAGATAGATCTAATTGGAGGAAATTATGTTGACATATCCTATGAAACGTACATTCAAGAGAAAAAGGGATTCAAAACCAGGTAAGTAGCAAATTGATCTTTGAACTAGTTCTTAACTTGTTTACGACATGTGAGAATGTTGTTTACCTGATTAAGAGCTTAGTATTTTTAAATGAGCTTTGATGATATTGAATGTTTATTGTATATTGTGACTGCTTGCTTGTGATGTAAGCATGTTATAAATGATTACTAGAATGTTCTATGTGTTGAACATAATAAATGTATGAAAACATGCATTAAATGTGAGTATGTTATGCATATTAATGGAAAGGTTATGACTCTAGGATATGTTTATTAGTTGTTGAGCCATGACTTATTTATATGAGTATGGTAGTCTACTAATTCTCATAGAGTTCCTGACCAACGCGCTGTGTGCTAAGTTAGAGAGAATGAGTACTCTTGATCGTTGGTATATGAGATGTACAGGCCGCTAGAGAAATTAGTAGATGGGCCGTATTTGACCGAAAGCGAGTCTTACATACGAGTCCGAAAATTCAAGATAAGCAT